AGTGATTTTTCTCTATTACCCTCTCATGAATTTAAACCCTGCAGCTCAACACCTCCCTCTTGAGGTTTAAAACACTCTTTTAGACAAAATTCCTGCGTGCAAATGATGCTGTGCTGGACAGAAACGTGTGTGTGTTGTGTTCGCTGAGCCTGTGAGTTTGACGGATGATGTGTGACAAGTGTGTGGAGTCAGCCCTTTGGTGGGAACCCGCTGGGGCTGGAGGATGCCCTTGTCCTTTTAGATTTTACAGCACATCTTTTTTTTCTCCCCGCGCTCTGCAGATCTGCTTTGCTTTGGCCTGCAACTAACGGCTCTCGGTGATCGATTGCCCATTCGACTTTGAAACCACATGCAAACGTCCCTCTCCGCGCTTTGCTCTCTCTCTCTCTCTTTCATGGTGAAGTGAGACGAAACAACATTTGGGTGATGGTTTTTTTTTTTTGTTTCTGTAATTCAGCTCAGCTCCAGATGAAACCGCGTGAGAAGGGGCTGTTCAAAAGGAAGCGGTTGGACCGTGACAAAAACAAAAGAAAAGAAGAAAATAGAGCATGGAGAATGAGTTGTGCGGGTAGAATCCTCGGTGAAATGCTTTGTGCATAATTTTGACTGTCACAACTTTTAAATTCTGCCTCATAATGAAAGGCTTGATCCCACAGGGGTGTGAACACACAGCTGAAGAAATGTTTTCAGACAGAACACAATTTCTGTCTGTTTTCAAGGTTTCCACTGACAAGACATTCAACAACAACACAAGTTCAATACAGTCATACTTCGGTGTCCCCTGCATTATAAGGACATCAGCTCAAAGCTTATCTTCTTCTTGTGCATTCCCGGGATTTTCTGCCTCTCAGACGTCGCTGTACAGGAGCCAGAACTGCATGCTTCTGATCTACTAAATCAGTTTGGAGCACAACAAGGCCAAAAAAGATACCAGACAGACATCAGAGGTCTGCAGAAAAGCTAATAGCGGTTTCGTACACAACCGTAGAGCCTGCTGGGACGCCTAAGCATGAGGAATCTCTGAATCTCATCCATAGGCAGGAAAGTAAAGCTAGTCATCAAACCGTAAACCATAACCTCAGTTAGTGGAGTTGTGCTTGATGGTTTCCAGTCAACCGCTTTAACTTCAAGTGTCCAAACTAATAGATTTATATGGATGCGAGTGATGCGAGGAATGAAGACTATTAGGTCTGTGGTCGTTTTGCTCAAACGTGCAGAGCTGTTTTCTGCCATGCCTGGAAGGAGCATGCAGCGATGACTGAGTGAATCTGAGTTGTGTTTTGTTCTTTGGATTTTTCAAAAAATCTAAAATTCTGGAAATAAACAAACAAAACAATTCCTCCGTTCTGCTCCTTCTGTTTCCCAGAAGTGTTGCGGAGGTCATCCACCTACCGAGAGCTACTGCTCACCTGTGTTTTCTCTCTGCTGATCGACCTCCGCTGCCCTGTCTGCTGCCAAGGGCCTCTCTGACTGTGAAACGGAGCCAAGAAACTGTCCAGCCACCCACTGTACACTATGTGTTTACAGAGGGACCGGGGTCACACTGGGCACGCTCAGATCACCTGCCCCTGATGAAAAAGGAGCTTGGCGCCAACGGGCAGCTTCCAAACCCAGCGTAGGAGGAGAAACGTAGTGCAAGATTTCTACTTCTCACCCAGAACAGATTCAGCCCTGTAAATATTTTAAAGGTTAAGCTCAACCCAGCTGTCCAAAGGGTTGGGGACGTGCAGCTCCCTCTGCCCTCCTTTGTGGTTTCTTTTAGCTTCAAACATTTATAGACTTTATGATGAGGTCATGCATTTATGTATGCTTCCTCTGCCCTCGTCCTTAAAACGGCCTGCCTGATCAAACACAGACGCTTCGGTTGGAGGAAGAAATCACCAAATGCATGGAAGCTGCACATTTTCACAGATCACCGGGATACTGTTTCCCCGCTCTTAACCTCTGAGCTGCTTTTGTCACAGCTTGATCCACCTCCTTCTGTTAATTCTTCCTCTCTTGGCTCACTTTTTTTTCGTGCTCTCCCCCATCAAAGTGTGTGTGTGCGTGCATGTGTGTGTGTGTGTGTGTGTGTGTGTGTGTGTGTGTGTGTGTGTGTGTGTGTGTCTTTATTGACATCTGAATTGGTTGTGGATAACAGCAATTATCCCAGCATTTCTGCTTCCTGGCCGGCACTCAGTGAGAAAAACTAAAATGGCTGCATTTCAGGCACAGAAACAGGAGCTAATGCAAGCCTCTGCTTTTATTCTAGAGTCTTTACTCTTTTATCTTTTTGGTCCTGGCTGAGGAGCAGCAATGTGGAGCTTTCACACCTGGAGGATATTTTAGACTGGGTTTTTGAGGCATGAAGCAGCTCAGTGTGGGGTGCTTTCCTCTATAGGAAGCAAGTTATGTAGCAGGACTGTGAGAAGTCTCCTTGTTGGCTTGTTTAAGGCTGAATGAGCATAATTCATTGCTCCAGAATGTTTACTCACTTTTTCCCTCCAAGACGTCTCCATGGCTACGGTCCTGTGCTGTGAGCGAGGTCCTTAATTTTTTTTTTGTATCTTTTTTTTATAAGCACACATTTTCTTTGTTTTACCGTATAAGGTCGTGGCATTATGTGCTAGACATCTTGCTTTCTACATAACCACATGTTATATTGCTTCTATGGTGCACAAAAACCATGAAATAATCACCGTTTGTCCCTCAAAGGTGAATTTTGATGTGATATAAAAATGCTCTTGGTCAGTTTATGTATGCATTTGTGTTTTATGGCTGATTCAAACGGTACCTGATGTAACAGGCGCCGCTGCGGCGAAGCAATTTTTCTAACAATAACTTGCCTGATGATCTGCTGGATAACCTTGATATGGAGGCAGATCTCCTGATGCAAGCAGAGCAGAGAAACACAGCAGCCCCAAGCTGCAGAACACAACAAATAAACAGGAAATGTACAACTGAAACCAAGAATGGCAAGATTTAAACATATCTAATCAGTTTAGGTGAGAATCTCGTGGGTGAGGAAACTCCGCCCCCCTTTTGAAAATGGATACATTAGTAACATATTTTGTTTATTTGGTTTTTTCATGAAACAACTGAGCATGTTGCTTTATTATTTACAGATCATTTCCACTATGATGTGGTTTAATATGTGTTCAAAAAGCTTTTTGCATCAGCTAAAAGAAGTTAGACACTTTAAACTCCCATAAGGCATTGCTTCACAGGTCTGGAAATGTGACGTTGTGGTTGTGTTTTGCTATTTGACAACTATTTAGACAGGTCGTTGTTACTGAGTGTTGCTTTGCTTCCATGTTGGTGTTACAGAGAACAATTATGAATAAATGTATTTATTGGTTTTAATATTTATATATGTCTTGATTTGTGTGAACATGAATGTGATTCATTAACGAGGTTGGGGGTGGGGTGTCTTCCCTAAGGGGGCCTATGTGGCGACCATGCCCTGCCACCCCTTGGGGGCACCACTGCTTATGTCAGCCTGGAGGAACAATTTAGCTAAATTAGCTTTTAGCTCTCCAGGAAAAGATGTCTGACCTGATTTTAGCTCATAAAGTTGTATTTTTTGCCGCTGAATTCTTGTTGTAAACAAACGCTGTTCTCAGCTGCAGAGGGAGAGCTCTGTTGGTGGGTCAAAGCCATCCAGAGAAAGTGAGCGATACAATCACCAGACAGCATTTGGCCTGTAACGGCTAAGCCTCGGCTGCTACTGGAAAGATGAGGAGACTGAAAACTGACAAAAGAACAAAAAGAGTAGGTCACTGTGACTTCCGCTGAAGTTTGATCCTGGTTGGATCTGTCGGCTGCAACAAAAAGAAAACTAAACAAAAGCTATTTAAGTTGCACGTTCATCAGTAAACTTTTCTGCTTACTTTGCTGAAAGCTGGCCGCCCATCTGCATGAGGCTGCCTGTCAAACGTTAGCAGAGAAATTGAGGCCATAAGAACAATTTTTAAAAGAGATAGCGAGAGAGAAATGGAAATGGAGGAGTTTTTAGTGGATGAGTGAATTTCTGGGCTCTCTGTTGGCTTAGTTAATGACTGGTGCATATGTCAGCCACGCAGCTGTGGAGCTCCAATCAGCCAGCCGGCTGAGGAAGAGAGTGACGGATGAAACAGAGAGACAAAGAGAGGGAAACGCAGACAGATACAAAGTATTAAGCCGCTGATGCACACACACACACACACACACACACACACAGAGTTCTTGGAGAGAGCAGTGAAGCAGAGGAGGTGAGAAAGAGGATTTTTGAGTGAAATAAACTGAGAAGCATCCAGAGGGAATAGGGAGAAAGAGATTTTTTGCCAAGATAGTTTCCTTTCTTCTGCTGCTCCCTCACTTAGCTGAAGAAGAAATGGCAGTGGCTGCAGTCCAAATCATTATGCTCAGCTGCCTTCCTAGAGAGTATTTACTGTTGTCAATAAAAAGAAAGAAAAGTGGAGGCAGTGTGTAGAAGGGCAGAAATGGCCTAAATGTGCAGCTCATCTGTTGGAAGACTGAACTGCACGGCTCTCTTTGTACTCCTATATTAGCATATTTTCTTTACCTTTCACCTCCTCTCCTTTTGACTTTGACGTTTTAGCCGGGCTGTCCCGTTCTGGCCCGTGTTCCATCAGCTCGGGGATTTAAGCCGTTAAGAGCCTCTTTTTTCCTGCAGTAAGAGCTTTAGGGCTGAATGTGAGTGGAAAGCAGGTTTTTGGTGAGGGATCAGAGCTGGACTTATACAGGTAGAGACCAAGGAGAGGAGAACATACGACAGAAGGAAACAGATTGTCTACCTTTTATTTGCTGCACAACAAAACGCCCACAGCAGTTCCAACAAGGGCCGTTTTCATGATGCAAGGTCACTTAGTTGTTGTTGCTCACAAAGCTGTGTGCAACTAGGTGTAAAATGGGTTCAAATCCAGAATTAAATCTTTACCAATGCTTGTTGCTGCTCAGCTCTGCATGAGAAGCATTATTTAGCTCTAAACTAACCGAAGGTGTTCTCTGTGCCCCTGCAGGCGGACCCGAGATCAGGAAACCCCGCCTGACTTCTTCTACTTCTCCGACTTTGAAAGACACAACTCAGAGATTGCAGCCTTTCATCTGGACAAGTAGGTGAACAGTCTGTCTCAAACTTAGGAGGCTTTTATGGTTTTGTTGCATCAATAAAGTGAAAGCTAGAAAACTTTTGAAGACATTGTGAAGGGCGCTGATGCAGCTACGGCTGGGATTTCATCAACTCTGTGAAACACTTGTGTTTGATGTGTAAAATGTTTGAGTGCTGGGAAGAAAACCAATGTTTTAGCTGCAGCCAGTGGCTCATTAGGGTCACCAAGGTAACCATGCGACTTTTAATCCCTGATAGCAGATTTTATGAGAGGCAGTCATGAAGTCAGGCTACTAAATAAGTCTCGGTGAACTACATGTTGAACTTTGAGCAGCAGAAGATCTCTGGTAAAAGTTGGTTTAACCAAGATGGCAATCCCCCAAATCATAAATCTCTTCTTTAAACCCAAAACAAGATGCCAAAGCAGCTAATTTTCCCTAGAATATCATTAAAGACCAGCAGTCTCATTAATCAAACATTGCGTAGAATCCTTACTAAAACCGTACTTAAGCTCAGCAAAAAATATGTACTTACGCCAAGAAGGTTTGTGATCTATCAAACATGGAGTACGCACAGCTGCACGCAATCTCCGCTTCATAAATCAGAGACTAACAAGAATGTTTCTCAGCTGCATTTTAGTCACATCCCGCCCTCACCACGCCCACTTACTGCCATAAATAGTCAATGCAAAGTGCCTTGTGGATCTCATGCATACACATAAGCCGGCTGTTGCAGCACTCCTCCAATGACATGGCGACCGTAGATCAAGGCGGATCAAGGAAGCACAATTTTACAGAAGCAGAAATTGAGGTACCTGTGGGTGAGGTGGAGAAATGAAAGGAAGTGCTTTTGCAAAACAAGTAAGAGAAAATCCACAGAGTGGCACAGCGTTGCTGAAGCCGTCAATGTTGTGAATTCTTCAGAGAGATCTGTGGCGGATATTAAAAAAAATGGTCCACTCAGGATTTGATCCCCAGACTCCTGATTGAGTCGCACGCGTGCTAACCAGTCAGCCAAACGAAGATCTCCCTTGTCCAAGTAGTCAGGGCACATGACCAATCAAGTCACAGTGGCAGGACACACACTGTCACAGACGCATGACATTCTGTCTCAATCTGTCCCCCTGCTGATATTCTGCATTCCGTATTCTGCATTTCAGGCTGTGTGTGTGTGTGTGTGTGCTGTGTGTGTGTGTGTGTGTGTGTGAGTGTGCGCGCATGTGTGTGTGTGTGTGTGCACGCGCTGTGTGTGTGTGTGTGTGTGTGTGTGCGCGCGCTGTGTGTGTGTGAGTGTGCGCTCGCTGTGTGTGTGTGTGTGTGTGAGTGTGCGCACATGTGTGTGTGTACGAGCGTGTGTGTGCGTGTGGGGGGTCTTGTTCTGTGTGAAAACGAAGCAGTACAAGTGATAATGCTGGAGGATTTCATAATATTATCCTTCTCAGCAGCAGCACTGCAGGTGCTCTCATGTCCAAAACGTGCGTAAGCCAGGTCCTTAGTCAACTTAAAGTTGCGCACATTTTTCCGCTAAGTTTCCTTTCATAAATCCCAAAGTTTATGTGGAAAGGGGCCTCATTTATCAAGCTTGCTTATGCACAAAACAGGGTCGGAAAACTGCGTAAGCAACTTTCCACATTTATGAATTTATTTATGAAAGAAAACTTAGCAGAAAAATGTGCTTAACTTTAAGTTGACTAAGGACCTGGCTTACGCACGTTTTGGACATGAGAGCACCTGCAGTGCTGCTGCTGAGAAGGATAATATTATGAAATCCTCCAGCATTATCACTTGTACTGCTTCGTTTTCACACAGAACAAGACCCCCCACTCACGCGCGCGCGCACACACACACATGCGCTCACACTCACACAGAGCCTGAAGCACAGAATATGGAATGCAGAATATCAGCAGAGGGACAGATTGAGACAGAATGTCATGCGTCTGTGACAGTGTGTGTGTCCTGCCACTGTGACTTGATTGATCATGTGCCCTGGCTACTTGGACAAGGGAGATCTTAGTTTGGCTGACTGGTTAGCGTGTGTGACTGTCAACTGGGAGTCTGGGGATCAAATCCTGACTGGATCATTTTTTTTTATATCTGCCACAGATCTCTCTGAAGAACTCAGCATTGACGGCTTCAGCAACGCTGTGCCACTCCGTGGATTTTCTCTTATTTGTTTTGCAAAAGCACTTCCTTTCATTCCTCCACCTCACCCACAAGTACCTCAATTTATGCTTGTGAAATAGCGCTTCCTTGATCTGCGGGCATGATCAAAATGCTGCAACAAGCCGGCTTATGTATATGCATGAGATCCACAAGGCACTTTGCATTGACTATTTATGGCAGTAAGTGGGCGTGGTGAGGGCGGGATGTGACTAAATGCAGCTGAGAAACATTCTCGTTAGTCTCCGATTTATGAAGCGGAGATTGCGTGCAGCTGTGCGTGTACTCCATGTTTGATAGATCACAAACCTTCTTGGCGTAAGTACATTTTTTTTTGCTGAGCTTAAGTTCGGTTTTAGTAATGATTCTACGCAATGTTTGATAAATGAGACCCCAGTTATTTTATTAGCAGCATGACTGCCCAGCCTCAGGCACCACAAACATCCACATGCAGAACTCCCAAACTTTTTCAGCTCAATGGGAAACTAAAGCTGGCATTGTGTGAATTTACTCACAACATCCCAAATGCTTATTTTGCACCCTGGAGGGCTAACGTCCTGCAGGTTTTTGTTCCTTCTTGATTAGTAATTTGCCTGTCCCTGTGTCAGCTCATTAACCACCTGGGAGGAGCTCAGACTGCAGAGGGAACACCAAAGAGGGATACTGCTGCTTTGCAAGAAAGCTTTAAGAATAAAGGAAGAAATGAGGGCCGGAGGTCATGGATTGTTTCTCCAGAACCAGTAAACGTATCGTTGGTCAGTCACATAATTGTATAATGCAGTGAGATATGTGACGTTTTGGTCCTTGGAGTCTTGTTGCCTTTAACCTGAGAGGTATACCTTATACATAAACCAGATCACAAGGGTGCTTTACACACATACGTGTGTGTTTGTGCGGTCAATGAAGGAATTCCTGCCTGCATGTGGAAGGAGGAGTTTGTGGTAAAATGATTAAAACTGCCTAATCAGTTTTTAGTGTCTGATTTTACTTTCTGTCTTTTAGTTTGTTAGATTAATTTAATGTGTTTAAAGGAGGACAAAGCAGTTGTATTTAAAGACGGGGGGCTCTAGAGACAGTGTTGGGAGTAACGCGGTACAAAAGTAATTAATTACTGTAATGCATTGCTTTTTGCTGTAATGTGGTAATGTAAGGCATTACAGGGAAAGAAAATGGTAATATTTACTCGGTACAATTGTCAGTAACGCAGTAATTACAATGCATTTTTAAACCCAGAATCAAGATGTGGGTTTCCTAAAAATTCAAATTGCGGGAAGCCTGAAAAAAGATCCAGTATCCACATATATGACGTCATTTATGGACTCAGCTTTGCGGGCATTCTGTGAGCAGAGAGGACGCAGAGGTAATGGCTCAAACACTCCAGCTGCGTCCTGCACGCGGCCGCTGTTATATTCACAAAATCGCTCCACCAAAACAAAGGAATTCGTTTGCGATCGTTTATATCAGCCCATATTCTCTGGTACTTCATGTACTTTTCAGCTGAGTTCATAATCTGTGCGCCGGTGATTTCAACTCATTGCTGCTGGAGCGCAGCGCACATGAAGCTTTTTTATTTATTTATTTTTTTGTGTTCGGTAGATCCCTTTGGCTGATTAGTTAGAAAGTAGGAAATCTAGGAAACAGTTTTTCTGGAAGACGGAGAAAACATGCAGCATGCAGGAAGGTTAGAGAGAGAAAGGGCAGGAAATTATTCAAATAAAATCAAGAAAACAAAACAAAGTGCTTGAAAAGAAAAAGTAGGCAGATTTATCCCCAATACACATTTTTACCAGTGAAAGCAATAATATATAAGCATTTAATATTTTTACATGTGATAGAATCAGATCACCCCAGAAGTCAGTCCCACATCCAGGGCCGTATCAAGGCATTTGGGGACCAAGGAAAATATATGCTTTGAGCCCCCACCACCTTACTCCCTGCTCAGTTAATATAAGATGGCAGCGTGCTGAGAACAATCAGAATAATATATATATATATATATATATATATATATATATATTTTTTTTTTCCCCCAGTCAACCACACCTTTAAATGAGTGGAGTTGTATGTTGCATTCTTGGACATCCTCACTCTGGAAGTTTAAAACTGGATTCCACTTCCTCCCTGAGGCCTTTATTTGCCCTGTTCTAGGTATTCTTGTGGTTTCTTACCTTAAATAAATTACAGGAGTAACAAATGATTCTGTTTGCACAGTAACAACCTTCTATTGTAACACATGTGCCCCAGTCCTGCTTCAGTCCTTGGAATCTTGTTGATTTTAACCAGAGAGACACTTTTAACATTATGTATTTGTCATATTTCTTGTAAAATTTTTGTCAGTTTGCACAAGATTATTTCTGTTAATCTGCCTTTGCATCACAGTCTGGTTACATTTAGTATGATACGATGAAATGATGAACACTGTTCGAATTAATTTACTCTACAACTTGATTGCATCATTGCGAATATATTTTTTTTACATTCATTTTTGCATTGGGTCTGATTTTCCAGTTATTTATGTCCTTTTCCCAGAGCAAAGAATAAACCCTTTTTTGTGAACATTGTTAGCTCGGTTAGCTCGGCCCATGCAGCAGAGGAAGTGAGCTCCATGAGGCCTTGAGTCATGAGAACGAATGCCGCCCTCCTGCAGCTAGCATCTGACTGAACAATGACTCCAGCCTCCTCTCTGGGCTTAACCACCACGCTCTCTGACTTCAGATCCTTTACGAGGCTAACACTTCATGTCGCTACTTCC